GGGATGGAGGAGGACATTAAAGGAAAGAAACTGGGTTCAAATCTGGCTCTGTCACCTTGCACCTGTTGACCTGGACAAGTTGCTTCACTTCTCTGGTGATCTCAGTTTTGATGCACCATTGGGGAAAGGAAGGGAAAATGCTTTGGAACTATAAAGCTCTGAGTGATGATTTATCAGGGTCCCTTGCTGGTGAGTCTGGGGCATTGCAGAAGCAGTGCTGCTGAGGCGGGCTATGCAGGAGGACCAGAGGGTGCAGTGAGGGTGGGCAAAGGGGGTTCGCTCAGCCATGCCAGAGATCTCCTGCCCCACACACAGCCTTCCTCCATACCAGTAGAGGTGCAGGGGGTGGGAAGCTCTGATGCAGTGAAGTGAGGAGGCCTGGGGATGAGGGGCTCTCCAGAGGACTGCCTGCAGGAGGCTTCCCCCTAGGTTGGGAGGAAGATGCCAGTACAGCCGTTGGGCCCTGTCCTTCAACCTGGCTCACACCCTCAGACCCCCAGAGAAAGTGAGCATGTCTGGGTTCTGGTTGCCTTCCCTGGGACCTCATCCTAGCCATCCCTGTCCACCATTCTGAGTGAAATCAGAGGCCTCCCCCAGGTTGGGGATCCAGAGGTCCAAAAGTAGAGGCCCACCCAAGGAGGCTTGGTGGGAGCAGGTTGGGGAAGAGAAGCTCAGACAGCCTTTCCAGCTGCTTCCAGAGCTGCCTCCTGAACTTCACCCAGACTGAGTTCTCAGTGTTGGCAGCATGAGGAGTTTATCTGGCTACATGACGCCTACATGGACAATAAGGAGTACATGGCTTCCTTGTGAAGAGGGCTAGGCTGGGGCTGGAAGGGGTGGGCCAGGCACATGGGTGAGGACACAGGTCTGTGATAGCCTCTTTGGTGACCTGTCTCTTCTTTTTTTTTTTTTTTGGCACCGGGGATGAAACTCAGGACCTTGCGCTTTCCAGGCAGGCACCGGAACCACTGAGCTAAATCCGAGGCAACCTGTCTCTTCTTTGAGCAGATCCCCCTAGCCTGCCCAAGCCAGACTTCAAGGCTTCGAAGGAAAAGCTGCAGAAGTTGGATGAGGAGGGACAGCTCTGTCACCTGGGAAGAGTTTGCCAAAATGAAGCAGGAGCTAGAAGGGTGAGTGGCACCTCCTTTCCTAGCTGGTGGTCAAGCCCTGGCCCCACCCTTCCCCAGAGCTTCAGGACTTCTTCCCCAACTTGTCTTTTTGGAATATTGCCAGGATGTATGCTGGGCTAGAGCACTGAGGTTCCCCTGGGGCGGGTGTCTGAGACCACGGTGAGGGCACTGGGCTGGCAAAGGGCTCCCAGTGGGCCTAAGCCCCCATCTCACCAGCTCCCCAAGAGGCATGTGACTGCAGATGAGAGGTGCAGGTGCCCAGGCTAGCAGCTCATTCTTTTGTGTGCCTCAGTTGAGTGGGGGAGTGAACAGGAAGGAGGTCCTGAGGGCATCTAAGGAACATGGTAGTCTGCAGATGAAACTCTTGTCACCAGCATGTCAGGGCTCTCGGTGACCTCTGGGCCCCTCTTTGTATTTAAGCAAGGCCTCAAGTCCATGGCAAACTTAAAGCCCAAATTGGCTGTGGGAGGAAAGCCCCTGGTGGGGCCTAGCTCTGGGTGCCTGTGCCCCCAGACTCCTGGTTACCCAGATAAGAAGGGTCCTGTCCCTCTCCTTTAGGAAGTTGCTGACTTTTTTGAGCCTGAAAGGACCTTCCTGCTGGGAATACCACACCTACATCTGAGATGCCTGCCTGTGGGCATGTCATGTGCTCTCCCAAGTGTATGAAGGGTACAGGGTGCAGGGCTCCCTTCCCCTTTCCCAGTGGTTCTGCTCCCTGTAGGGTAGAAAAGAAGGAATGTCCTGGCTACTCTCCGTGGCCACAAGCACCACAGTGGGACTTTTTGTGGGGACTCAGCTCTGATGGGACATTGTTTCCCAGCTGGCCTGGCAGACAATTATATCCCTGTTTTGGCCGTACTGACCAGTCTGGGAGCACAGGAATTTAACTAACTAAAAAAGTGAGTATTCCTTCCTCCCTTGCCCTCTCCCTTTTCCTGTAATACTGTGTGCGCCTATGAGGTCCATTTGTCAGGAGATGCAGAAGGACTGGCTGGAGGTTGGGAGAGAATGGGGAGAGAGAATCTCAAGGAGGGGCTGAGGACAGGGAAGCTTTGAGCTGCCCCCAGTCCCCTGCCTTTGCAACATTCTGTTTTTGGCTTTTTTTGGTACCGGGGATCGAACTCGGGTCCTTGCACTTTCAAGGCAGGCAGAGGAACCACTGAGCTAAATCCCTGGCCCAAAGGTATTCTAATGCTTACAGTGAAGGTTCACATTTTTTTTTTCCAGTCCCCTGCCTTAAGTTCTCCCCACTGCCTCCTTAGAGCTTCTTCAAATTGGCAGAGCTCTTTGAATGACTCAGGGTGAGTACTGGCTTCTTCACTCAAAGGCTTCCACCATAAGTCCTGGGAGAGGACACAGCTGCAGGATCATTTTGGAATATTTAGTGATAGGTGTGCCGGGCTCCCATTCCAAACTAGCTTACTAAGTAAGAGGTAGAGGCAAGGATCCAGCCTCAAGTGTGTGTGAAATGCCCTCAATGGACTGAAGCCCAACCCACACCAGGCTTGCACACCTGCAAAGCATCTGCTTCTGTCTGGCTAACTCCTGCTCAACCACCAAGGTCCAGGCCAGGGCCGGTCAACTCCCCTGAGCATCTGGGTCTGACCTATGGTAATTTCCAAGCAATTCGCTGCTGGATGTTTGGAGAAACAGGCCCTTAGCTGCCCTTCTGGCAAGCTTCCTTCCCAGTCACCCACTTCCTGATGCAGAAGCTAGAGGGCCTGAAGCTGTTGGATATGCTGAAATACTATATCCAAGACTTGCAGGCAGTAAAGATGAGGGGTAGCCCCAGGTAGGGCGGGAGGTCAGTGGGGAGGGAGGCCAAGGCCATAGACAGCAGCAGTGACCCTGAACCTGGAGGCCTAGGACCGGCTGTACCTGTGGCACTGGACAAGGCACACACCAGGAACCAGGAGACTCCAGACTCTACCAAGTAGGGTGAGCTTGCAGCCCCCTTGCTAGGCTGCCCACAGGTCTTCTCCCATTCTTCCCTGTCCTCCTCAGATCTCATGGGCTTCAGGTCTTGCTGGGTCTCCTTCCAGGACTGAAGCTCAAACATGCCAAGATGAGTGAGACCATCCCCCCACCCCTGTCCCGGTGTAGTCCCCTTCCCTTATCTTTATTAGTGATAGGAGAGGCCAGGGCCAGGCCAAAGACTGAGGGGTGGAAAGAGTAGCTCCTGGCCTAGAGAACAGGGGACTGGTAAGGACTTTCTTCCACAGGCCAGAACCCTGTTACTCCAGAATATCCTTGTCTCCCTAAAGGACAAGCCTTAGAGCAACCAGACCCTATCTGGGACTTTCAGTGACAAGAGTCCCCTAAACTCTTCCTTTCAACAGTTACTAGTGATAGCCTGAGGCTTTGCAAAGATAGGGCAGCATGGACATCCCATTTAGCCAGTTTTAAGTACAGCCCTTGGGACCTGGATCCTAGCAGGCTGAGAGCCAGACTCCACCCTAGCTGTCCAGGAAGCTCACTGGGCCCCCACCCTTGAACGTCCTTCACAAATAAACAGCATGGTTTTAAGCAAGGGGGCCTGCCTATTTTCTTTTTGCAATAGGAGACTGTACCTAGGGCTTCTGCACTGAGCTACTTCCCCAGATCATCTTTTTTGTTGAGACAGGATCTTGCTATGTAGTTCAGGCCAACCTTGAACTCAAGGCAAACCTCTTGTGCCTCAGCCTCCCAACTGCTAGGATTATAGGTGTGCACCACCATGACAGGCCACAGACTTTTTAAAACAAGGTCTCATTAAGTCTCAAACTTGTGACCCTCCTTAGTGTCCCAGAGAGTAGGGATTACAGGGATGTGCCACACCTATTTGTCTACTCACAGCTCAAAGGCCCACCAGGCATATCCTCTGACATGACATTAAGATCAGATCCCGGGGACACAAAGAGAGGTATCCCTGCAGCTCTACAGCCCTTCTTCCTGTGGCAGCAGGATCTCCATGGGAAGGTACAAGACACAGAACTTGGAACCTAAGAAGTCAAGGCTAACCCCTCCTCCACAGGCCCTAGCAAGGACCACAGGTTAAATTTTCTACATCTATTTCCTGACCAGGAAAATGAAACTACCCTGTCTTGGCTCTCCCCAGTGCTTAAGGAGATAAGAAACCAGATGTAACTTCAGATGGCCCTTTGCCATACGGGACAAGGTTTAAGCCCCACATTTCCAGCCCATTTCACCCCACTGGGATGCTAGACTTCTTGGTTGCTTGTGCCTGCTGGGTAAAGCCCAAAGTACAGGCTAGAGACAGCCCACAGCAACTGTGACAAACGCTCAGGACCCTGGCAACACCCTCTTGGTTATACACTGGGAGGTAGGTCCAGACACCTAGGTCTGAAGTCCTTGGCTCCACTAGGCTGGCCCCACCCTGAATGGACTCCAGCCATATTTACACAAGGCCTAATGCTCAGCTTGGTCTGACTCACAGCAGCAACTGAACCTAGACCTCATAAATTTGAGTCACCCATCCAAGAGAAAGGATGGAGAAGAGGGCATGACAACCTTAAAAGGGAGAAAGCTCAAGAGGCCACCTGTGGCCTATACTACTGCCATCACACCTGGGCAGAACAGAGCAGGGACTAGGAGTGGACAAGCAGATGTGAGGCCACTTCTGCGAGGACCCCAGCAGCCAGCAGCAGACACATCCTGGGCTCTGCCACCCCTTCAACAGCCAGTCTAGAACCAACCATTGCACCATCAACAGAAGAGTGGGAACTATCAGAAGGGAGTCTCAGCTAGTCAATGGGGCTCGCTGAGGGAGAGCAAAGATGCTGTTCCTCCCAGTGCACCTTCCTTCCAAAGACTCTCCCATCCCAAACCTGAAATAAACCAATACCCTATTAATGAGTTTTTTAAATTGTCTTTTTTTTTTTTTTAATTGAAGGTCCCTTACTGGTCCTGCTTCCATGAATGGCCAAGACCAGGGGAAAAGGGAGGGTAACCAGCCGGCACAGAGAGGGGTCATCTCCACAACATTCCATTTATACACAGAACTAAATAAACAAGCACAGAGTCACTATTGCAGTTAGAAGTTGGCAGCGTGGGATGGGGGAGGAATGGGTGGGGAGTAGGGATGTCGTTAAAAAAAATACAGGGCCCCCCCACAAAAGCTGGCTGCCTGAGGGGAACTTGGTCTGCTTCAACCCAATAGAAATCAGAAGATCAAAAGCAGTTTGGGCAAGCCGGACCATCAGGGATGGAGGCAGGAGGAAGGTCCAGGGGGTAGGGGGGCTGTTTGGCAACTGGGGTGAAAGGATTGCCCTCCCCCTGCTGGGATCCCCCCAGCCCCTCCGGTCTGGCAGGAAGGGGGCAGCCTGCAACCCCCTGAGGGCAGGTCCGGGGCTGCCAGATGCTCCACGAAGGACTGGAGGGGCTCACAAGGGCTTGCCCTCCAGGGAGATGACGGCACTGCCTCCCAGCTTCTCTGCCAGTGTGCAGCGGTCCTTGACCTCCTCGTAGCAATTTGCCTGTAACTCATGCTTGATCCCTGTGGGGAAGAAGGGGGAGCATCTGTGAGCAGGAAACTCTGGGGTGAGGAATTTCTGTGGCTGGGAAGGAGCCATCAGAGCAGATGGAAGGGTAAAATAGACTGCCCAGCAGGCAGGGAAGATGGGAAGGGGCCTCCTCTGCCAAGTCATTTACTCCACTCTGCAGCCAAGGCTTGTGCAGGTGGGCATGAGAAATCACCAACACTGGCCCTTACCTGTCAGCTTCTTTTTGATGGCATCCTTGGAACTGGCATAGATCATTTTGCTCTTAAGAGGTGCACACTCGGGGGCCCTGGAGACAAACAAGAACCAGGGAACTTGTAGCATTTGCTCTCAGGCACCAACTTCAAGAAACCCTTGGGCTGGCCTCTAGTCTTGGGGACTTTGACAATTTCCCCATTGACATGTTTTGTTACAACCCTCACCCCACTTCCAAAGCTCCTCCTTTACACTAACCAGGACTTCTGTAAAACTTCCCTCATGAGAAAGGGGGCAGGGGACAGAAGTGTCTGGATGAGCAACTTACCAAAAGATAAACACCAGATCCTCCTTCTTGCTCTCCTTGGTCTCGTAGGTTGCATCATAGAGGGCATAGCGACAGTCCTTGTCTGGCAACATCTTGACAAAGGTGGCATACGGATCGTCCACAGTCTGGCCCACATCCCCCACCAGGATCTCCTTGCCTTCCTCCAGGATGATGTTCTTCTTGTCCTCACTCAGGCAGAAAAGCACTGCCTTCTTGCGCTTCTTCACTTCCTCTGGTGTTGAGGACTTGCGCACCTTCATGTCATTGAATACCTTGATGACGCCATCAGAGACAGCCACACCAGAGGCCTGAGGGACAAACCAGACACACCTTGTAAAGAAAAGGATTCAGGGAACTGCCTGCCCCCTGTGGTCCCTCTCCATTCTCAGGAGATCTCAATGTGGATCCCCAAAAGTACAGCCCCTATACCAAGGGATTGCTCACTAATTCCCTTCCCAAAGCAACTCACTACTTTCCCATCCAAGCCACTGTCAAAGGACCAGATAGGACACAACTGCAGAGCAGCTACAAAAGAAACTTCCTACGAATTACGTGGTTCAACATCCTCCCTCCCCGATTTTACAGGATAAAAACTGGAGACTTACCAAAAGCAAATCACTGACTGAGCTACGAATCCAAAATTAAAAGAATCCACGGACTACTGATTGGTTCTTCCTCACAGTACTCAAATCTCAGCCTTAGGACAAAAGTACCGACATAGAACTTCACAGGAGAGAAGGACCAAGACCTCAGTGGTAGTTTCTTCAGAGAAGGAAGAACCGTGACCCACAATGCTAACTGTGACACCAAAAGGTGCCGATAGCTCCACAAAGTTGGTCAGAACTGCTCAATGCAGATGTTACACAAATGACCCTCTTCCCTGCTGGGATTTCTGCCAAACAAAGACAAGAATCAGCGTCCAATAGGATCCTGCTAGACAACTCCCTACACTATTAAGAGCAGTGCAGCATCCCAAAGATCGCTGACAGAAATTATCAAGTCAAATTCTAATGGCCAAAATCCTTGAGCCCTCTTTAAACTTTTAGTTGCATCGCGCTTGGGGAAGCCCTAGACAGGTCGGTCCACGGTGAAATCCGCCCCCCACCACTGCAGAGGAAGCAGGCCACGTGACCCGGCCGCTTCCGGAGTGGGCGGGGAAAGGAGATGTGCTGGGCTCAGCCCCCTCCCCAAGAGAAAAACCCGTACGGAGAGGCAACGGAACCCCCAGGGCCCCAACGCCCAGGCCGGTAAATAGGTCTGTGAGTTGCGGGCGGTCGCCTAAAGCAAGTTATACAAGCATCAATTCTCCATGCCTTTGGGCTCAACATAGGGGGCGGAGTGGCTTCCGGGCGGTGCCCGCCCGGGTCACTTCCCTAAACTCGGCTCCACCCGCAGGCCTCATCGGGAAAGCCGAAGGCCCTGCTAGTACAGAGCTAAGGCCCCGGTGGCCAGGACAAAACGCGTGAGCACGTGCCAGCCGACGGTACCTTTCAGCCCCAGCCCGCGGGACAGGCAAGAACCCAAATCACTACCGGGGCTCGATAGCTCCCGAGGACAGCCATGGCTTCTACAGAGTCCGCTCCGTGCAAACTCCTAATTGTAGGCACCAGCCTATCAAATAGGACCCGGTCACCCCAGCATCCCTCTAGTCCCACCGCGCCTGCCCTTCTGGGCGCCGGCATCTCTGGCCACCTGCTTTCAAGACAGATGCGTCCGCCGAGGGAGGGTGGCGCGGAGAAACGAACAGCCTTTGGGTGGGGCGCGCGTGCCGAGACCTCCCGCGCGCTTTTCCCTCGCTCCGGGTTCGGGTTTGGGTGCCGCGTGCTCCAGTCGAGAGCGCGCCCTCGTGAAACGACGCGCGACGCCGGTCGCTCTTCGAGGGGCGCGCGCCCGCGTGCCCTGGACCCCTCCCCCACGGTCGGTGTCCGCGCGGGCGCACCAGCGGGTGGGGGAGGGGAGCCCAGTGGGCGCGCGAGCGACGCCCACAGCCAGCCCTTCCCCGCGCCCACGGGCATGCACGCGCTGCCCAGCACCGCCCGCCACTCGGTACCAGATCTTCATCCCGCCAAGGGCGCTGGGGGAGGGGGTGCCGACATCGCACCCCCGATTCCCCATGCGTGCAAGCGACAGGCCCGCAGCCGACCCCCTTCGGGCGCTTTAGCCTGCCGCTTACCATGTTTCAGGAAGCGAAAGAAAGACGGCAAAAAGAGATGGCGAACGCGAGAGCCGCTGCAGCTGCTGCCGAAACCCAACTGAACGGGGCCTCTCCCGGCCCCTTCCGTTTAGTAGGAGCCGCACAATGAGGGGCGGGGCGGGCTTCCGGCACTCTCCGCGAGGCCGATGGGAAATGGAGTCCGAAGGTCCTGCGCCGTCGTTCGGCTCGCAGAGTAACAGTCCTAGGTGTCGTCAGCTTCCCGGCTTCGCAGTGCGTGCTGGGAAAAGTAGCCCAAAGCAGCTGTGGGGCGGGACTATAGAGCGCAGAGTGAGCTCATTGGAGGAATATCCCAGGGAACGCTTTGAGCTGAGCAATAGGCCCTGAGCTCGATAAAAATGACCCGAAAAGGTTCTCCGACTAAGCGGTTCTTTATTCCAGGAGAGAAATGGTTTTCACAAGGCTCGTCTGACAACTTTCTGGATCCCTTGGTTTGAAATCTTTTAGTGGAATCACGTTTTTGCTTCTTTGCATTGAAGCAACTATTCATTGGAATCCGGTTTTAGAGAGCAAGTATAAAGGGATCTTAGACAAACATTTATTCACCATCTTCCATGTGCACAGCCCCTTTTGTCTCCTGAGAAAAAGTCATAAGCAACTTACACAGAATAAGAATAAGAAGGGAAAACACAGGGAGAAAGGCCACAAGGAGATAATTGTAAGGAGAGTTTTACTTTTGTTCAAAGATGTTCAGAAAATCATGAGGCAATAAAGAGGACGAGAGTTTGTGCATTCAAAACTTCTTTCTCTTCTTTTACTAGGCAATAAAAAGAGGAAATAGAGACTAAGCTGGACTTGAACTTAGTTGATAGGTTTAAGATTATTTAATACTCCCACAAGCTCAGTGAGAGTAGTAGCCTAAAATAAACTCGAGTGGGGGGCTCTGGCCAAATTTTGTTGGCCTTGAACAATGACCATGGCCTCACATTCTTCAGGAAGAGAAGGCAAGGTCGTCAACAAGTCAGAAGCAAACGGAACTAGGGGCCTCGATGCCATAAGCAGAATAAAGGTTGTAAACGAAGAGAGACGCCCAGGAGTGGGGTATCTCACGGAGCATGCCGGGGGTTGTAGTCGTGGACATCCACCGCACCGCCCACCGGCAGAGCTCTGGGAGCTCCAGGTGGAGGATGCAGCTTGAGCCCCGCCTTCCCCGAGCGCCCCTGGAGCCTAGCTCCTCCTTTTTCGAGCCTCGCAGTTCCCAGAGCAACGACAAGGTGGCGGGGGTGGGGGGGGCTTTACAGTTACCTTGGTGACGCGCTCCATCCGCCCCCAGCCGCAGGATGCCCTAGATGTCCTTATTAGGACATGAGACTGGAGGGGGCGGGGCCAGCCCGAACACCGGGTTCAGGCTCCTTATAAGGCCGCAACGGGAGGGAGGCGGGAATCCAGAGACTGCCGAGGATGAGTGGCCGTAGTGTGCGTTTAGTATGAAGGGGTGGGCCTGGAGCGCCGGCTCGCTCCTCCAAGGCCGGAGATCTGCCCCTCGCGACTTCTGGCATTAACAGCTAGAGGTCGGAGGGGAATAGGGTGGCAGATGCTCCAACTCCAGTACCCCTCCACCTGGGATCCCTTTGCAAAATTTTCATACTCAAGCTCCGTGAGGGCCCCCCACTTCCAATTTGCCACAAAAAGTGTTCATTTCTACCTTTATCAGCCGGCTCCCCGGGATCCTGCCACATGCCCATCAGGCCTCCCCACTTTCCAGGTCGCCCTGCACCTCTTATAAGTTCTCTTAGGCGTCCATCCACTGCCCTTCCACCCAGTCCATCTAGCTTGGCCTTTCTGTGCACATCCTCACTTTAGGCCCCCAGCTTGCCTCTCTTCCTCTTTCTCTTCCCCTCCCCGTGTCCTGCAGATAGGGATCACCATGTCCTCCGAGATCCTTCAGCTTCTCCAGTCTTACCTTTGTGTCCTCATCCCCATCAGCCCTTCTTGTATGTCCCTCCCACAAATACACTTGCATTTATTTGTCGTCTCCTCCCTATAGCTCCCCCACCCGACTCTTCTCAAACCATCTCTCTAGCTTCCTCTGCAAGAATGAGATGTCTTACAGACATGGGAATCGCCACTTTCAGGTTTTCTGTTAAATGCCGCCCCCAGCCAGCCCTCCCAGTCGCAGGAGGCGCTGTCCGCTTTCCTATCGCCTGCCACAGAGATGGATGCACCCGCTTTGGAATCTGATGTGGGAGGAAGGGGCAGGTCGAGGCTCCGGCTCGGGTTTAAGAAGCTAGTCGGTCCGGGCCAGGGGGAGCCTAGGCGAAGGGTTGTAGAGACTGCCCTCCTACTCGTCAGTTAGAATAGTGCAGGGGCTGCTAGTCAAGACCTCTCTGGAGGCACGTGACTGAAAAGGTCCTTCCCTCTTCTCTCCCCGAGCAAGGTGTTCCGTTCCCAACCCCAGAACTGGCGGTATCCCGGTCTCGCGGGCGTGAGGTGCCAGCGGATCCGCCCCGAGGTTCATGGAGGCGCCGGTCCGCCTGGGCCGGAAACGCCCGCTGCCGGTTTGCCCCAATCCGCTCTTTGTACGCTGGCTGACCGAGTGGCGGGACGAGGCAGCCAGCAGGGGGCGCCGCACGCGCTTCGTGTTTCAGAAGGTGGGTCCCCGCTGGGTCGGCTGGGTTCAGATGTCCAAGCCAGACGACCTGACTTGCCCTGACCGACCTCCCTACCCCTGCCAGGCACTGCGCTCCCTCCGGCGGTACCCGCTGCCCCTGCACAGCGGGAAGGAAGCTAAGATCCTCCAGCACTTTGGAGACGGGCTCTGCCGAATGCTGGATGAGCGACTACAGCAGCACCAAGCCTCGGGTGGTGAGCGCCTTAGACAGGGATGTGCCTCCTCCAGGCACAGCCTCCATATTCACCCTAGATACCCTTGGTTTTAAGCTTCCCAACTTTGGTCCTAGTTACTGTTTGATCTGGGGCGGATGGTTGGCGCTCTGTGAGCCTCATAGTTCACATACAACATGAGCAATCCACATCCCAGATCCTCACACCTGCCAGATTCCGTGGGGGCACTGAGTTGACTTTCTTTTGCTCCCACAGGTGATCATGCCCCTGGCTCACTATCTGGAGAGAAGAGCCCAGCCCAGGACTCTCCCATGCCAGTGAGGAGGAGCAAGGGGAGTGGAAGGCAAAATGGGAGTACTGGGAATAGGATTTCTTGGCTTGAAGGATTTAGCTGGCTTGGGTCCAGATCTCCATGGTGATTCCTGGTCTAGAACAAATGACTTATCCTCTCTCAGACAGGGTTTTAATTCTGTAAATAGGAATATGGATAGCACCTGTAGAGGGAGTTCCACGATTAAGCTACTTAAAGGGCCCAGGCCAGTTAGTGGTAGACTGCTGTTACTCAGTGTTCTGTCCTGTAGTGGGCGGCAGAACTGAAGTTGAATAGAACAGATAACCCCATCCTGTCCCTGCCCTGCAAGTGTCCACTATCTCATTCTGGATTTGCAGGGAGTCATCCCATCATCTGGCTCATTTTACAGATAAGGAAAGTGGGAAGCATCTTAGGGACTTGCCCAGGACATGCATTCTGCTGAAACCTTAGTCCTTGCAGGAACTGAGCTGACACTGACTGGCAGCGTTTGTATTCAGAATCCCTCTGTCCCTTTCAGGTTCCTGCCCAGCGCCAAACAGGAGGCTCTAGTGGCTATTTGCCACCTCGAAACTCAGGAGCCCGAGTGGTCCTGCTGCAACTCTACTGGCAGCACCTGGTCAGTGCCTGGCCATACCAGGAATAGTGGGGAGAGGCAGTGGGGTGAGAGTGCCTGGCCACAGCAAGGCAGAAAGAAATCATCCCAGCCACTTGGGAAGGGCCAGGAGTTCTAGCATTGAACCTGCCCTATCGTTTGTACCATGGTTTCAGGATTCTGATGGTCATAGCTTCCTAACCAAGGAGGAGCTGCTACAGAGGTGTGCCAAGAAGGACCCCAGGGTGAGCACTGAGGTGGGGCAGATAGGTGGAGCCCACCAGAGTGCCTTTGTGGCAGTGAGAAGTGGTGATGGGCCTAGTCTGGTTTGACCCCTGTGCCTGGGCTACAGGGACAGAACTCTCTCTGAGGGTTTCCTCCCCTATCCACAGATAGACCCCAGGAGTTCTCAACCCTGGCCAGCCCTTCGTTCCCTCCTGCACAGAAACCTGGTCCTCAGGACACACCAGCCAGTCAGGTGGGGGCCAACTGCAGGGGACACAGGAGCCAGGGATGAGCAGCATGCATGACATTCTTAGTGGGCCTCTGCAGTCAGCCAGCAGTTTCCAGACCTGATGCTGCTGGGGTTGAAGAAAGCTGCTCCCCACCCCCACAGCAGGTACTCCTCTGTTGGAGTACCAGGAGTATGTGAGAAATTGAGACGGGAGGGGGAGGATGGAGGGATGCCACCTTTAGTAGAGGAGCAAAAAGCCTTTGCCTAGGAGACAGCATTTGGCATATCTTAAAATTTGGCTGGTAGAGGTATAGGAAGGGTATTCTAGAGAGGAGGGAACAGCATGAGTAAAGATAGGAAGAAGTACTTTGTCTGAGACATATGCATTGCAGACCTGAGAAATGACACGAGGATGGCCCCAAGAAAACCGATCTGACGATCAGGAAGACCGGGCAGAGCAGGGGACTTGTTTGTGCAGTGTTGCCAAGGAAGGCTGAGGCCCACTTAGCTGGGGGCAGCAGGAGAGCCTGCCAGGTATGAGTGAAGAAGGGAGAGCTGTGTTCATCTCCTCCACCTCCCAGGTACTCGCTGACCCCAGAGGGCCTGGAGCTGGCCCAGAAGTTGGCTGAGTCAGAAAGCCTGAGCTTGCTGAATGTGGGCACTGGGCCCAAGGAGCCCCCTGGGGAGGAGCCAGCACTGCCAGGAGCAGCCTTGGCTGAGCTGTGAGGAGAAAGGGGAGAGATGGGGGAGGGGGGATCCCCAGCACTGGGGGTTCTGGCCTTACACACAGCAATCTACACCCACAGTGGCGCCAGTGAAGGGGGTGTCCAGCAGCCGACTCTAGAGCTGGGGCCTGCAGAGTACAGGGTGCTGTTGTGTGTGGACATTGGTGAGACCAGGGGGTAAGTGAAGGAGGGAAGCTGTGAAGGTAACCAGAGGATCATTAAGGGTTGAGGGTACTGGCCCACCCTGACCTTAGCCCACTCCCTGCAATTTCAGGGTGGGACACAGGCCAGAGCTGCTCCGAGAGCTACAGCGCCTGCATGTGAACCACGTGGTGCGCAAGCTACACATTGGGGACTTTGTGTGGGTAGCACAGGAGACCAGGCCCAGAGACTCAGGTAAAGAGATGTGGATGGGCAGGCGTTAGAGCCAAGGCCTAGTGGGTGAGGGGACACAAGCCATCAGGACCCTTCTTGGCTTCTTGGCAGCAAGACCTGCAGAGTTAGTGCTGGACCACATCGTGGAGCGCAAGCGGCTGGACGACTTATGTAGCAGCATCATCGACGGCCGCTTCCGGGAACAGAAGGTCTCTTCAGTGGTCTGCATCAGCCTGCTCCCTTCCTGCTGCAGGGCTACCTCCTCAGCCCCCCAGAAGCCAAGGCACTGTGGGGAGGCCCCCTCAGGCAGAACCCCCAGTGTCTCCAGCCACACCTCCCTTATCGCTGCTCCAGGCAGCCCTGGTTCAGCTCCTCTGGCCATCCTAGAGCATAGCAGGGACATGGGGCATCTGAGCTGGGCAGAGGAGCTTCCTAAAGACCCCTTCATTACCCATCCCCTGGGGTCTTGGACACAGGAGGCCCAAATGTAATGCAGAGGTTTTGCCTCAGTCCCAGCTGCTGGGCTGATCCCACAGTCGAGGCATGAACAGACCAAGGGAGCCCTGCAGGATGGGCTGCACCCAGAGGTGGTGAAGGGCTTTCCTACAAGAGTCATAGCATGAGGACAGGTACAGAGCCACCTGAGACAGGTAGATAGGCCATCGAGGGAGAGGAGGCTAACTGGTGGGATCAGGGTCTAATTTTGAGTGGGGCACTTGGGGACCCAGGCCTGACCCTGCCTCTTTGCTTCCCCAGTTCCGACTGAAGCGCTGTGGCCTGGGGCGCCGGGTATACCTGGTGGAAGAACATGGCTCAGTCCACAACCTTAGCCTCCCTGAGAGCACACTGCTGCAGGCTGTCACCAACACCCAGGTGAGATCAGAAGGCAGGGCCAGATTGGCAGGGCCCAGAAGCTGTCGTTCAGGCCAGGAGCCAGCTCCTGCCCTTGGTTCTCCTCCCCAGGTCATCGATGGCTTCTTTGTGAAGCGCACAGCAGACATTAAGGAGTCGGCTGCCTACCTAGCCCTTCTGACACGGGGCCTGGAGAGACTATACCAGGTGAGCAGATCTACCTGTTTGGTGTTATCCCTTACCTGGATCCTTGCTTCCCCAAGGGAGGTAAGGTGGGTGAGACCCCCATTGTTTAGTCTGGCCAGTGAGGCCTAGGGCTGAGCAAGGACACTGCAGATTGACCCTTAGAGCTCTATCCTAGCCTCAGTCCCCTCTTTCCTCAGGGCCACACCCTACACAGCCGCCCCTGGGGAAGCCCAGGGGACCCTGAATCAGGAACCAGGCCCTCCCCAAACCCTCTCTGCTCACTTCTCACCTTCAGTGACTTCAACTCTGGAGCCATCAAGAACAAGGTACTGCCTCTGCCCAGACTCTGTAGGTAGCCTGGCCCAGACCACCCCTGACACAGGCCGCCCCCAACCACAGGCCCAGTCTGTTCGAGAGGTGTTTGCCCGGCAGCTGATGCAGGTGGGTGGAGTGAGTGGGGAGAAGGCAGCAGCCCTGGTGGATCGATACAGCACCCCTGCCAGGTACGTCCCTGGAGGGCCCCTTGGGGGTCCTCAGCCCTTGTCTGCCCCCTCTCCCCCAAGAATTCATCTTCACCAGTGCTTTTGGGGAGCAGGCCTGGCTCTTTGTGAGCTATATAGAGGGAACAGTGGGCAGATCTAGCTCAACCCTAAGGAGCTCATAGAGATTGGTGGGAGGAAGACAGCTAGCCAGACCTGGGGGAGGGAGGAAAACATTCCATCTGGTACAGCAGAGAAGGCTTCCTGGAGGGGTGTCTGAGCCACAAAGAATGGGGGCGACTTTTGGAGCCTTTACTGGTCTGTCCTATTGTTGCCCAGAAGGAAGGGCAGAAAGGATGAAGCAGGGCCTCAAATGCCGGAAGTGTGCAGCCTCCTGAGCCCTCTGTCCCAGGCTGACCCCCTCCTGCCTCAGCTCCCACAGCTGGCCTAGATGGTCCGCCATTTTATTCCCCACTCCCAGCCTCCTGGCCGCTTATGATGCCTGTGCCACCCCCAAGGAACAGGAGATGCTGCTAAGCACCATCAAGTGTGGGCGTCTGCAGAGGTGAGGACAAGAGACAGAATCTGAAGGGGGTGGTAGGGGATGGGCTGCCCTAGGCCCTGGGCCAACCCTCACCTGCCTCATTCTTCTAGGAATCTGGGGCCAGCTCTAAGCAGGACCTTGTCCCAGCTCTACTGCAGCTACAGCCCCCTGACCTGAGCTATACTACAAAACAGATCCCAACCCCCTTAACACCCCCTCCCAGGCTGGCCAGCCTTTTAAACAGGACTTTTTGAACTACAATAAAAATCTAAATGTTTTCAGCCTTCTGTGTTATAGAAGGGATGCCAGGCTTCAAGGCCCTTGAGAAATATGGCCGTACAGGGAGACAAGACCGTATGGTCTCTAGTGTTTTTGTTTGCTTGCAGTGCTGGTGATTGATCCCAGAGCCTCGTGTGCTAGCCAAGTGCTTTACTGCTAAACTGTACCCTAGACTGTCCAAGCAGTCTGATGATACACACCTGTAATCTCAGCACTCGGGAGGCTGAGGCAGGAAGATCTCCATGAATTCAAGGCAACCTTAGGCTACAAAGTGAGTTTTAAGGCCAGCCTGATAGCAAGGCCCTGTCTCAAACAAAGAAATACAGCAGACACCTCAGGATCTGGGGTTGCTGGTCAGGGAGATAAGAGTCAATAGGGCCTTGCAACCTTAGGTCTGTCTTTTTTTTACCCCTAGTACTGAGGATTGAACCCAGTGCCTTCACACTAAGCCCTTTGTTTCATTTATTTATTTTTTGTTTTGTTTTGTTTTGTTTTGTATTTTGAGGCAGGGCCTCACTATGTAGCTCAGTTTGGCCTCAAACTTCTGGTGATCCTCCTGGGTCAGCTTCCCAAGTGCTGGGATTACAGGCATGCACCACTAGGTCCAGCCCCAACACCCCCCGCCCTCCATTTTTGGTACTGGGGATCAAACTCAGGACCTTGCGCTTGCAAAGCAGGTGGTGGAACCACTGAGCTAAATCCCTGCCCTCCCCCCTTTAATTTAAATTTTGAGACCAGGTCTCCCTAAGTTGCCCAGGCTGGTCTTAAATTTGTGATCCTCCTGTCTCAGCCTTACAGAGTGCTGGGATTATTAGGCATGGGCCATCATGGCCAGCTTTGAATGTACTTTATTTATCTAATTGGATGGTCCCTGATCAAGTATGATTTTTTTTTCTTTTTTTTTTTCATACTGGGGATTGAATTCGGGACCTTGCACTTTCGAGGCAGGCGTCAGCACTACTGAGCTAAATCCCGCTCATGATTTTCATTCTTTTGGGTTTTTTTGGTACCAGGGATCAAACTCGGGACCTTGTGCTTTCTAGGCAGGTGGCAGCACCACTGAGCTAAATTCCTGGCCCATGATTTTCATTCTTAAGAGGTTTTATACTTGGAAAGGAAAACCTGGAAAACCACTCACAGTCCACTTGTCTCATTTTATAGGTTGGAAATCAGTCCCAAGCAGCTAACTAGGGCTTGTCCAAATGTCTAGTTTGAGGCAGAGCTGCAACTAGAAGCCTGGAGCTCCTGGCACCATCCCTAGCAGGGTTTCTTGGGCCCCCTGCCAGCCAGTCACCCAAAACTGCACACCGCGTTACCTCCTGTGTGAAGTCAGTGAACACAGCTCCCAGCTCCCATCAGTGGGGCCCCCTCATGCTGGACACATACACCACCCCTCTGTTTAGATGGATTTAGCCTGCCTCCCACAAGCCCAGCTCTTCCCCAAGCTGAGATCACCCACCCAAAGACTTCTTTCTCCCTTTATTGCCTTTCTCTTTCTGCCCTTCACAACATCTTCTCTTTTATCAGGACAGAGTCAGCCCTGACCCCCAGGCTCCTTGGCTACAGGGGACTGTAAGGAGGGTCCCCCTCAGAAAGTGTAGGCCCCCACGAAGATGGTGAGTCTCAGTACAGAGCTGGCCCGGTAGCTCATGAGGGAGTTCAAGGTGACCATCTCCAGGTCCAACACGTACTCCCGGGGGCCCGTCACTGGCCGGGCAAGGACCAGCATGGCGCTGACATTGTTGATTTGCTGCAGGGCACAGTGGGTGGGAGGACATAGAGATTGTGTTAGCTACTAGGTGCCATCCCCTGACCCACCATCACCTCCCTGTCTTGAGGCTGTGAGGTGGAGAAAGCCTTAGCTAGGTGTGACCACCCAGAGTCTCATCTGGCTCTCTTTTTAAAAATAGCCTCTCACTGTGTAGCTCAGGGTGGCCTTGCACTCACTATGTAGCCCAGGTTGGCTTTGAACTTGCAGCAATCCTCCTGCCTCAGCTTCCCAAGTGCTGAAACACTATGCCCAGCTTCTCATCTGGCTCTTTGATGACACCCTGGAGATCTGCCTTCCCCTCCCATACCCAGGTCCTTCCCTTGGAGATCTCTCACTGGTGTTCTCCCCATTTCCAGCTAGTTTTTGTTGTTTTGTCTAACCAGAGTTAACTAATTCAAGGCCAAGTGTGACTTGGGAGTGGTGGGGCTTTTGGTGGTCCAGAGCAGGCACAGTCCCCTTCAGTTTCAAAAAGAAAAACAAGCTCTGATGCTAGACACAGCCCTCCTGTTGAATGCAGCATGATGACCACTTGCACTCCTCACTGTGAGCCACACCTGGAGCCCTCCACCTACAGCTTGCCTGCAGAGCTAGCTTCTCTGAATGACCAGGGTTTGTGCACTTTTGTACCATTCCTTGTTTTATGGATGAAGAAACTGAGGCCAGATAGGGAAAACCAGTACCAGGCCTCAAACCCCAATGATCCAGTGCTTATTATTTAACATCAACAGTTTATACCCTGGGAATGTAGAATACTACTTCCACACCCCACTTCCCACAGAAACCCCGCCTTCAGGGACAGGGCTTTGGGGAAAGATCCCGGGCAGAGGGGGGCGGGGCCAGTCCCTCATTTAGGGTTCCTGGAATTCCATTATAGATAATCCATGTCAATTGAGGAGTGGGAGCAGGGGAGGGCCTTACCCTAATGTAGAAGTCACCCTGCGAATTTCCAGCACGTATCTGAAAGGCATTGTAGGCGCCAGGGTAGACAGAGGTGGCTTGGATCTGGAACACATCAGCAGGCACACTCCGCTCTGAGGTGATGCTCATGTAGCGGTGCACAATGGACGAAGGCTGCTCCCGGCACAGAAGGTTGGAGGTAGGACAGAGGCAGCGGCTAAGGACCCCGAAGTAAGAAACAGGAATGAGTGCCTAACCCATCACCCACCCCCAAAAAGAGGGACTCCCAAGAGGATCTGCCCATTCCTGGTGCAAGACTACAACTCCATCAGCTCTCAGAGCATATACCACCCCAATTAGACACCAATCTGTGCACGTAGCCCTCTGGAAGGTGTAGTTTTGTGGGGAAGGCTGGTTTGCATTACTCACTTGTCAGACACCTGGATGTAGGGCTCCACACAGCGGTTGGTATCCACGCAGCGGTAGCCCCCGTGGAAGTTGACACAGGTTTGGGCCTCAGAGCACTGGTGTGCACCAGATTCACACTCATCAATGTCTGTGCCAGGGGAGAGGGGCTGGAATCTGGAGTGTCAAGCCAACAGCCCCTGACATCACCCTGCCTGCCCCATCTGGGAAACCAGTACCTTGGCAGAGACGTGTAGCCAGCAGCTGGTAGCCCTGAGGGCAGTGGCAGGAGAAGCGGCCTGGCTCGTTGACACAGCGATACTGGCAGAGATAACTGGAGTAGCTGCACTCATCGATATCTGAGGGAGGGTGGGGATGAGGATGCTGGGCCATCCTTGCAATTGGATCCCACAAATGTTTACTGAGAGTCCAGCCCCATGTGAGGCAGAATATAGGAAGAGAGAAAGGGATGAGACAAGCCCTACAAAGCTCAAGACCAGGGGTAGGGGTTCTAAGAAAGGTCTAAAGGCTAGGGGTGTAGCTCAGTGGTAGAGTCTGCCTAGCATGCACAAAACCTTGGATTTAATCCCTAGCACTGCCAAATAAAAAGACAGAAAGGTATGTCTACCCAAACCTCCCTGCTCACAGACCTCTGTTTTTGCCCTAGGACTGTAAGATTAAAAAAAAATAATACTAGAAGCCAGGTGGGGTGGTACACACCTGTAATCTCAGTACTTGGGAGACTGAGGCAGGAAGATCACTATGTGTTTGAGTTTGAGGCCAGCCTGGGCTACATAGTGAGTTCAAGGTGAACCTGAGCTACAAAGTGAGACCTTGTGTCTAAAAAAAAACCCCTAGAAATCTAGAGATTTGGGAATGATTCCTACTGATTGATTTTGAGAAACCTCAATTTCCCTGCCAATAAAATAGGTTAGGTTATATGAGTACATGTCAGGTGACACAGTGAGGTGCACATTGAGGACCCTGGCCCTATCCCTTGCTGTGAAGAATTAGGCAAATCACTTAATTTCTTAGTGGAAGGATGAAAGGCACCATTTACTTAAACTTTATGTGTATTTTTTGTAATCCTAACAAACCTGGAGAGAGATACCAATGTCCTCCTTTGACAGAGAAAGGGAAAAAATATACCTGCCTTCCTCAGATTGTTGCTAGATTAGCAAGTCCAAGTATATAAAGGAAGTGCCCTGCACAGGGCAGGTTCTCAGTAAATGGTTGTTCACTTTAGCTACTTCAGACTTGATGAAGCCTAGTATCATAGTTCTACTTCAGCCTCTAGACAATCCATTTTACAAAAGAAAGCCTCAGAGAGAAGAGCAGCTTGTGCTAGTGCAGGATTTGAATTCAGGTCAGCCCGACTCCCAGGAAGAGTGGCATTCTTCTGTGTCTCCCAAGTGAGCTTCAGCAGAGGCCCAATTGTGCCTTCCTGCTAGGCTGAGAGTGCCCAGCAATGAGCTCAGAATGAGAGATACATGGGTACAGACAGAGATGGGGCATGAAGGAAATGAAGGACTGTGTGACTGGAGGCAGCACAGCCTGAGGCAGGGTCTAGGGGACCAATGGAGGAGCCCAAGGCAGCAGAGGGGCTCTCACCACTGCAGGAGAAGCCATCCCGGTGCAGCTCGTAGCCCTGGTTACAGCGACACAGGAAGGTCCCATAGGAATTGAAGCAGCGCTGCTCACAGGGGGCTCCCATGTCACATTCATTCACATCTGGGGGTGCCAGGAAAAATGGGAAAGTGGAGGAACAGTCCAGAGCCATCATGCACCTGAGCTGGACTGAAAGGGAGCCCCCCCCACACACTCATGCACCCCTACCACCATTTCCCTCCCCAGAACTAGGAGTCTGGCCCGG